TAATGGAGATCTCCCATGCCCAGGTAGCGGGAAAGATTGGGCGATTGGATGGATTGGCAAACGCCACCGTGGGAGATAACGAATGAATGCACTTAGACGCAATGTATTGTGGGACGCAGCTGGTTGACGTCGATTTCCCCTGTGCGGATCTGAGTGGTTGTTCCAATCTGCATAGTTCAGCCAGCTATCAAAAGAATCGGCTGCTCCAGGCGCTCATCACCGACACACGACAATGACAGCAAAAAAACATTTTTGTTGTGCTTGGAAATCATCAGCCTCAATTGGAGCACTTGTCTTCCATGTATGTGTAGTTGAGTACGCCTGCCACCTTCGGGCATGAAACATGAATGAGCCGTGGAATCACAGAACATCTTGGAGTGCTCTGCACCATTTCTTGTGCTCTTGGTACTGCGGCTCTGCACCCGTTCAAAACTATCAGTCGGCATGAGCTGAAGCGTCATGACAACAGGATGCAAGTGGGACCCGATGTTGCAACTAATTCAGCTTGCGTGTTCTGCCTTCTCTTTCGGGGCTGGAAGTGGGACCGATGCAGCGTTCTCCAAGCGTTCCGAACCTGACATCGTGCTCTCATGAACATGTCACACTGTATTTCACTGTATTTCGACATCTGCACCTGGACTATGCTGCGCCTGAGGCCCAGGCGGACCATGGACATCTGCCTTGCCAAGAGGGCCGCTGCCAGTGAAGGTGCCGGTACAGCCGCCTGGCTACTCCGCATGCTGAAGGTGTGGTGCGTACGTGTGCATACGTGTGCCTACTTCGTCTACTTCCCCACACATCAAGATGCGACGAGGTCATGCCCTGGGCAAACGCATCTCGCTACTACCAGTAGCCAGGCCTGCAGGGCCTCAACCACAGACCATAGGCCTGGTTGTGCAGAAGCCAGCTCCCCATATACTCCCATCTTACTGAGTGGGACTGGTTACTCGTCGCCTACACATGCCTCCAACGTGGTTGCAGGTTGTTGGATTGAACCTACAAAGGCAAGGGCAACTGCCTGCGCCCATCGGCTTGGGGAAGGCATCGGTGCTTTATGGGCTGAAAGCCGGCGGTGTGTACACTTTGTTGACCTCTGCTTTGAAACGTTGAGGTTGCGTGTCGGAAAACGTGGGAAACACTCACATTTTGCATTTGCATCATGTGAATTTGTACTCTGTGGCTTGCTCCATTTTATTGGCGCTGTTAACTGCTGCATAGACTTTGCAGTGCTGAAGTCCCTGGCCATCCTCGGTCCCATGTCGCTTCTGTTGCTTGGGATCGCCTGAGAAGTTGCTGTAGACTGTAGATGCCACCAAACTCCCTGCAAAAACAACAAAACCATACCTACCAGTATCCGCGCTACCCAATGACTCCACGACAGGCATGTTTGGAAGCACCGAAGTTTGCTAACGGGGCTGCGCATCCCTGACTCACCAGCCTGTGCCCTTGGAATCTGTCTTGTCCATTGTCCGAGACCTCACGAATGTAGAGATGAACCGTAGTTTTGACAGTTGCGAGGCGACTTGCTGCTTGCACAATGATGTTCTAAGGTAAGCAGCACGTTCTTTCACCGTAGGCTTCCCGGCAGCAATGTCTTGCCATCATCTTGACCGCCGGCCACTGTGGAGTCCCGAGCCTTCACAACCTGCAACGAGGTCATTGCAGGCTGAAAGACACAACAGCGCGCGAGAGCAAACCGCAGGTCGCTTCCAGCACGATTTTGAAGTGCAATGTGAATACAGGAAGCCATGTCGGGTGGACGAGACGAGAGACTCTTCATTCAGACATCCCGGAATCCGCTGCAAGGTGTTAGCCTTCGTGTCATAATGTGTTCTTGCTCCGTGTGTGCCCATGTCATATTGTTATCCCAGGTTAATAGCTCGAGCCCAGCTGTCTCAAGCTTCGTGCAGTTGTGAGAAGGAGCATGGTGTTAGAGACCGTGCTGTTAGGGAAAAGGCACACAGGAGATGTTGGGCGAGGGGATTGGTGATGCGCTTGTGTTCCATGGGCGCAGATCTGAGCCTCGATGGTGATGTCGAGCATGTAGGAATCAAGAAGACCGGCCTGGGTGTGGCCCGCGATACAGTGGTAGAATATGGTAGAATGATTCGACCGAAAGGGATGCAAAACGTGGACACGGTCGTCTTGCCTAAGCCTTAAAGCCTTAGCCGCTTTGCCCTAAAGCTGAAAGCAGGTCTGTGTTTCCACCCGCTTCATCTCGCCTTCTGGTCATTGTTCATCGGCAGGGATGACTTTACTTGGCTTGTTGAGCGAGGGCTTGTGTATGTCTCTAAAGGTTGGGATGGATTGCGGATTCAAGAGGAACGTACTACTTGACGGCTTGCTTTTGCTGCCGCAACTCGCAGTAGTAAATTAAGAACCCGACGTAGCGACCACCCATTTTCGTCTTCCAAGACCTCAACGCAAGTAACACAACCAAAGCTGAAGTGCCACTTACTCAACGGTTGTCTCCGGTCATGCAGAATCCGGATCAGGAGCAGCTGTGGATGTTACAAAAGAAAACATGTTGTGCGCGTGGCATCGCATCCCAAGAAAATTTCCTACACCCACTCCCGTTTGTTCCCGATGACTTGGCCTGGGCAGCCCATCCCACATCGGCATGCCTCTGAAAGCATATATAAGCCTCGTCGGCTGGAGAAGCGAATTCGCAATAGCGGTGGTCAGCTGTTTTCCTCCACTCACCAAGGACGACCCCTCCTGCGACAACCCAGCCCCCGTGCCAAAGAGGTATATCTTTGATTCACACGGACTTGCTGCTCGATTCAAACTCAGACTCCGGTTTCTTGTAGTTCCTGTTACTAGTGGCAATGAAGCCTGCGCAGTGGGGAGCGGCCGGCTTTGGCACTCCTCAGGTCGTAACTCCAGAAGCTTCGCCTGGGAGTCAGCGTCCACCCCATAGGCTTTCAACACCTGTCGGGATCTCCATGAGAGCGTGCTAACAAATCGTGATATAGTGCGACTCCAACACCGTAGACATGCTTCGGGGATCTGGGTCTATCTTGCATGTCGTATTGTGTGGGATCTCGTTCCTGACGTACAATGCTGGCAGGGGCCGTCTCACGAGCAGTTGAAAGCTTGCATGCCGTGCCTCATGCACTTCGCCCCAGATTTGCAAAACTGCATATTCACCTGGCTGATTGGCAAACATCGCACCACAGTAAGTGCACACAGTAAGATAAATGTACAAACTACAGGTAACCAGCAGCACCAACAGATCCTGCTGCCACAGCGAGGAGCGCCTGCATTGTGGAACATCCTTGATGGAACCAGCCAGCCCGAAGGTGCACAACAGTCGGTGCAATCACGTGCAAAAGATTGTAGTCTCATATGCAGGACGTCTGGTACTTGCAAGTCGGTGGAGCACGTGCTGCTTCGGGCTGCTTCGTGCAGCTAAGCATCTTCACGCAGGACCCAGCACCACCCTGGCGGCAATAAAGCATTGGCACTACACGTTGCGCGCCTCAGCTTTCTTACATGTCTTCAGTCTTCAAATATCTTCAAAGCATGCCTTCCCATTCATGGTGGCGCAAGGGCGCCCGTCAGCAGCTTTGGCAGCTGCAGCCTGATACTTAGCCAGCACTCACTGTGCCCTGTTCAAATCGCAATTCATCGCAACATGAGCGCTCCAAGACAATCACAGTGGTTGTGGCACTCCTGCAAAGGAAGGCCAGTTTTTGTTGTCAGCATGGCCATGACTACAGTACGCCATAGTACGCCATGGGACAAGTCGACCTGCAGACTCTTGCTGTGAGATCGAGATGTCGAGATGCTAACTGAACAGCTCGGATGAAATGTCCGGTGCTATACACGACATCCTTGGAAAAACGCGCTTAAGCACAAAAACCCATGTCCGTCTCGGACAGGCATCTGTACTACAGCTTGCTAGCTGGACTTGAACCTTTTCGCAGCTTTGCGAGGTCAGCACGGATGGCGCGTTTCTGGATCTTCTCCGTGGCTCCTGTGCAACGATTGCTGGTCATGCCTTCTGGGATACATCTTGCCATCTCTCGTCCCTTCCACGGCTTTTCTTACGTCGTTGTCAGTGATGGCAGCATCTTTAGTGTACATGAAGCTGTTGCATGATGATGCAAGCATCGGGTCATGGCCACGGGCCATGGCCATGGAAACTGACAAACTAGATAACTAGAACCATCTTCAAGCTCAACAAAATAGACCTCTGACCCCATTCGTTCCCCAGGCCATATCGGTTTCTTGATTCGTCCTTTGACTGTTTTCATGACCTGATGCCTCAGAAACTCTGACGTTGAAGCCCGCTTCAGATGCGAGCGTGTCAGGCGGTCACCGAATACCGAATACTGTTTGCTCGCTAACCTGGGCTGTTCACTCTGAATTATTGACTTGCAGGTAGGCTAGTGAAAGCTATGGGGCCGCGGAACTCCACGTGTCTTCTTCAGATCTAATGTCAGCAGAGGCTGAACGTACAGAAGGCGAGCGACCCAAAGAAAGATCGAGGAGAGTGCTGTCAATCAGACTACTTGGTGCCACGCTTTCCTTGCTTTCCAGATCTTTCCAGGTACTGTATCCGGCACGCCCAGCAACTGCCAATGAAAGGTGCTGGGCATGACGCTCCTCTTGGAAGAGCCTCACCAGGCCAGGTGAAGAACTCCTTCGTGCAAGGTTCGTATCATATGAACTTGAAAAGCAGGCGGCGAGAAGTCAAAGGCGAGGGAGCATGATGGAACGGGGTTGGGCTGGCAAGGACATGCTGCAGTGATGAGATGCCTGTCGCCCACAACCTCTCAACGAATGCGTCGGCGGTCAGACAAGCAAAGTACAAGCAAGCAGGCTCCTTCGGAACCACGTGGCGTGGTAAGCGCTCGGCAGCAAAGGCACGAAGCTCCTCCTGCGCAGTTCGTTTGCTGGTGGAGTGGGAAGCTGTCTGCTCTCATTCATCGCTCTGTGCTGTGTGCTGGTCCATTTTGGCTCATTGAACCTGAACTAGCCGCTTCAAGACACAGCCTTGGGAAGTGTAAGTGTGACATAGCGCTACATCGTCCTCGTTGGGTGGTGCCTTGCCCTTCCTCGAATTGAACTTGCTTCATTCAAATCTGAGGGAGTTAGGGAGTTATATTTGGGCGTACTTCTGTAGCCCTTGATGTGCCGGAACTTTGCAACTTCGCAACGAACAGGCACACAGCATCAAGTGGCAGCGGATTGCTGGGACGCTCTTCGCCAAGGGGCCTGAAAACAATGGCCACAGCTACAGTCTCCCCCAATACCTCGTCAGGCATCCTTAGCTCCGGCTCTGAAGGTATGAATCAGGCTGTGATTGTTCGCCTGAAGGGCCATGTTTCCCACAACACTGAGCCTCCGTCCCTACAGCTGCCACCTCTGCCACTGCCGGGTGCTCATAGAGCGCAGTTTCGACCTAAGACACGTTGAGAGCTGACCGAGACCTGGGAGACTCCTGAAGCATTCCGCCGCGATCCACCGCGCCTCGCTGGCCGAAATATTTTCCCCTCCTGCCAGAACATCTGCTGACCGTGTAGCATAACAGTGAGCAGCAGCCGCCTCGAATGATAATATCCTTTGCGCGGTCCATAATATACCTTGGGGCGGCTTCCAGTGCGCATGACCAATCTCACGTACCAACATCTGCACAGCCTTGTAGAAGTACGTGTATGGGTAACCTGAATCTGCCGCTGTCATCTGCCCTACATGAGCATTCGTCAACGAAGTCGCTGGCCTTTCAACATCGTTGAGCAATGCAGGTCGGCGCCGGACTTCGACATACGCCTAGACTGTCCTAAACGGACTCTGGCGTTGCCACAGTTGGATATGGCTCAAAACCTGGGTTGGTCGCGGGGGGGCGACCCCACCTTGTGACAAGGCCTTGTCGCGCCTCTTGTCGCGCCAGCTTTGTTACAATAACCGTTACAAGCCCTTGTCGCGTGACATTCTGGGCACGCAAGCCTTGTCGCAAAAACATTTTTCTTACAAACCTTTGTCGCACCATGTGCGCCCCGGGCCTGTTGCAAGCCCCATCGTTTTGATCCGTTGCCAGCAGTGCTCTCAACTCAACATCAAGCAAATCGATTCTCTGCTCACACTCCCATCATGACCTCAGGGACTCTGTCCGAATTCAATTCGGGAACCTGGGTCTTATGCTGCACAACCCAACACCAAAGGCAAGGAGCACAAAGTCATCTTCATCCACGGCTCCAATGTCACCAGTTCGGAACCACAGCTCTCCATGCTCATCCACATGGAAGGCTTCCATAGTTTTATCCTCACTTCGAGGCTTCCCGACCCGCGTGTGAGCGAGGCTTCCTGATGCTACAAAGTATATTGGGTTGCTGCCTTCTGACGATGACAGATACCTGAAATTTTTTCGTATCAGCTTGGCCACTGGCTTTCTCCAGTACTCTTGCATGATGGCGGGGCCTCGTAAGCCTGAGCAACGCCAGAACCACAAAGCAATGCCTGGCCTGTGTGCTGAATACTCAGCCCATTTCGTTCCTCTAATGGCACCGAGAGGCAGATCTCGCCTACTCCCCCTGGTGGCAGTTTTGCGTCACCTTCACCCAGGATGCACACCTTGGTACAGCTCCAGCTCTACCGCGTTTTTTGGGCACCGGCTTGCAGTTCTTCATGTGAATGTCTGGGAGGCGCTCAGAAAAAGTGGGCCATACAATGCTTTATCATTTGCAGCACAGAATAGCACAGACGGGAGGTGGGGCGGGGCTCTCACATCCCCGTCTGCACATCTGGAGAGAGCTGGCACAAAGCTCATAATAAACTACACTTCGTCGGGGTCAACTCCTCGTCCCTCATGACCACCTTCCGAGATTTGTAACCTGTGCTGGAACGCCTGACATCACCTATACACACGAATTTCTGAGCTAAGGCTCATCGACATTTGCCACCGGCAGCCCGCAAGAAGTCGGACGTGCGGGGAAGAGCAGCGCGGGCATGATGACGCTGACGGCATTTGTCTCCTGGGAACTTTAATAAGAAACCGCCCAGCTTGTCCTGTAGGCTAGAGCCGCCAAGCCGCCAATGCATCCCTCTCTTTGTGGGGGGGGGGGGGGGCTCTAGCGGAGTCTAGCCAGCGTGGCAACCGCAAACTGTCTCTAAACTGCTGTGTGACAAACCACACTTCTGAGCCAGTTTCCGTCAGGCCATAGCCGGTCCCGGCTTTTGCCTCAGCGACCGGCTTTGTGACATAACGACCCTTGTAACAACAAGCAGCCAGTAGCATCTTACTGTGCACACAAGTGCATGCATGGAAGATACTGCAACCTAGTTGGGGCACGTGAAAGAAACACTGCATACCACTGCAGACACGCCCGCTTTTTGGAAAGTCTGCTGGACGCGCTTGATCATTGGAGCAGCGAAGGCAGCACCCCCACCACCCACATTCGTCATTGATGAAGTGTCATATTTCTGGAAATCGGGGTGGTTGACCTTAGGAGTCGACAGAAGCTGAACTTATCTTTTCACCTGCCTGACCACGTGTCATGAAACCTGCCCCTGCATTGGGATAGCATGCAATCAGTCGCATACACTATCAGTCGCGCACTAATTTCAATAAGCACCACACTATCTAAGTGTGCGACGCACAATATACGTGCATTGGTTTGCAGGAGGCTTGGAGGCAAAACCATGCATGCGGAAGGTGGTGGGCAGGGTGCCCCATGACAATAGGCACAGGCGATCTCAAGTGCGCACTAGCATTATAACAGTATAATAACCCAAAGCCAGAGTATCCAAGTAAGCATGGCATCGTCAAAGTACTCAAGTGGCCCTACGACAGCCAAAGAAATCCAGTGCAGATCGGTCGAACTCAGCTATACCTATGACCAAACACTGGACAAATCACTTGAGTGATTGGGTTGGGTGCAATGTTGGGTGCGCAGTGAGCAAGGCTGGAACGACAGACTGAGTGAGTGCCTGTGCCAAACCACTACCTAGGGTTCAGGCTATTTGGTTGGGTATATGGGCCGCAGAGGACGTGCTTCATTCCGATCTCAACCCCCAACTTCTCAACATGCACAGTGTACATCCCTGAGTGCAGCGGAGGCACCAGCTCATAGGTGTTCGTGGGAACTCCAACGATGCTGTTGACCTACAGAGTCAGCAAACCCATGGTCTGAAGGTAGATAGGCCAAGCACTGTGGCTGTGCAGGCAATTGTGGACGGCTTGGCCTTCTCCTCTTGGATCAACTGCAGTGCTCGAGTGGCGTTCCATTTGTACATGAGGATGAGCCGGTCCCCTGCGCATGATGAAGTGCAGCTTATTCGCATGAAATATCTGCCGACCTCGGACCTACTGTCTAGGGAGTCCAGGGAGCATAAAGCAGGTACCCCACCTCCAGTCCCCTCCCCGACGGCCCGTGCGCAAATTGCACCGCTTTATTTGGCACCGTTTTGCGCCCCCCCGCCCCCCGACCCGTTGTTTCTGCGTTCCCTTCCCCACTGCCAGAAGCCCCAAAAAGAATGATTGCACGAAGCCTCTCCAGAGAAACAGCCCGCGATCTCCGGTTTGGGGTTGCCTCGCCGCTGGGGAGGCCCCGCCCGAGGCTGGTCGCGTAGCATGAAAATTGCATGCGAGGTGTTCGATTACCTTGTTCAAAGGTTTCAGACACCCGCTTTCTGCTGTGTGCATGTGAGCATGATCAAAACTGTCATTACATGCTTCATTGCTTCCACGGTCCATGCACGTCAGTCACGGCAGTAATTACACCGGCGTAAGATCACATTGCCACTGGCAGGCTCGAACCATCCAGGTATTGGCACATACCCTTACTCTGCGCCAGTCGACTTGCAAATTTGAGAAGAATTTGTGCCATCAGCCAAGCGGCTTAGATTCGAGCACAGTGCGAGGCTTCACTTCCGCTTTGGACCCGCGCTGGGCAACAACATAGTCAAGACGACACACCCACACACACATATATATATATATACACACGTATATTATGTTATACATACATACATACGTACGTACATACATACATTTTGGTATACTCATTTATCTACATACATACAGATATCAGGGTTCAGTAGCTGAATTGTTTGCGCACAGGCAATCCGCTTTGCAGGGCAACTGCATGATGCATGTTTGGTTTCAGTTCTGTGTTCGGGTGTGTTTGAGCTTTGGAAGATGGACCATGCAGGTCCTGCTGCAAACGTGATTAGATGTGCTGAGATTCGGGAACCTAAACCGACTGACACCCTAACCCTGCATACACCGACGTTAGCCCTCGTTCGACCTTTGAACGGATGCTTCTGTTGGGCTTGAGCACCGGTGTGGTGGTAGTCACGTGAGTCGTATGGCTTCAAAAACAAGCTGCGGAGCACCTCGACAGATGGCAGCCAGCATTGCAATGTGTGATCCTGTCCTCGATGCACACATGAGAAGCTAAAGCTGTAATCCCAGGCAACTTCTGAAGCATTTGTCATGCATGTTTGTCTTGAAAGTCTACGAGCGAAGGCGCTTGCATGAACACGAGCTTGTGAACTTGTCAGTTTTGCTAATGACGCTCAGGCTCACATGGAATAGTGGAACGGCCAGAATGACAACCAGCTGCCGCGCTGGCTGCTCATGAACGAAGTACATTCCTCACAGCCAAGCTGGGAGAGAGATGGTCACTGGTGAGGGTGGGAATAGAAACCCTGAAATGGCGTAGCGGAAGCCAGGTCCGAAACCGAAACAGAAACCAACTGCAACGAAAACCATCCCCGACAAGATGGAAACCAAACGTGCGCGAAAAGGAAACAAGCGAAACCTGCAAGGGAAACCACCCACAAAGGTCGCAACGGAAACAATCCCTTCCGCCCAAATAAACCCCTAACCCAAACCCTGAATCCTTAAGCCCTACAGCCTGAAGCCTACAACAAAAAGACTGCACACTAAACCCTCAACCCTGAACCGTACAGCCGAAACCCCAAACCCTAAAGACAAAAGCCGAACACGCCCTACCGCACTCCACACTCCACCACACTCCACCACACTCCACCACACTCCACCACACTCCACCACACTCCACCACACTCCACCACGCCACCGGACCGCACCCCACATGCCCCACACACCCTATATACCTCCAGTATATTTGCGCGTCTTCGCTTGCTATGCATTGCTGTGCACTTGTTTTGCTTATCGTCGTGGGGCGTCTTCACTTGCTGTGCGGTTGCTTTGCTACACGCACTCAGACAGGACGTGATTGAGTAAGATGATGTACGAACACGCGCTGGTACGGACCGCGATGCAGCTCAAGGTCGGCGCATAACCCTCGTATACACAAAGTATTGATACAATCAATGCTGACCGCCCTGTTTGTGCGCTAGAATCAATAGCTATCCCACCCTTTCTCGATAAAACCAAGTAATTCACAACTGTGAGGCGTCGACCGGTCTGCCTGCAAAAGCACAGTTAAACTCAAGCCTTGCTACACTAGCCGCTAGCTTTCGTGATAGTTGTTTCACAAAATCCAAGCGCTGCAAGTTGCGGCATGTTCACAAGTTCCGACTGCTGCGAATTACCGCAACTTGCGTACTCACTCATAATGAGGCCCCAATTCCTGTCATCGGTAGCATTCAGATTGTTCAGCGGTTCCAAAAATTGTACGTGACCACAGCATTCTGATCATTGTGAAGTACAGCATTTCTGTGCTCTCACAGGCTTCAGAAGCTGTTGCTTGTTACCAACACATAGCTAAATGGTTTGTTGGGTTGGCATCTAAACTTTCCCGGCCTTTGAAGATTTGCTTGGCAATGGGTTCGCTTCGTTCTAGTATGTTCTAGTAGGGGGTCGGCAGGGGTGCACGCCGGCCCCTCATTTGCAACCACCTTGCCGAGTGTTTTATTGGATTGAAAGGTTTTGCTCGTGAAGCCAAAGGACCTGTTCAGTTAAGTGTTTCATCGGAATTCAAATGATTTGCTTGCGAGATGAGGGGAGCTGTTCGGCTTGCTTGGGTTGCTCTGGCTGGGCTTGTTGCCCGGCCTTTAAGCACAGGCTTTTGCTTTGAGGCTTTGTTATCGCAAGTGGCGGGCGTGCTCGTGAGCAAAACGGGATTTGTTCGAAAACATGCTTGCCTGGGTTGGCCGCGGCAGTAGCATGGGATCGGAAGGGTGCAGCCCCGCAACCACGTGGCTCAGCACATTTTTTTGGATTGAAGGGTCTTGCTTGCGAAGCAACAGAAGCATCTATTCAGAACAAAAGGTCGGCTTGGTTTAGAGCAGCCTTTCCTTCATTCGTTTCTATTACTCGCGCTCTTGATGATTTTCTGTCGTCTTTGTTCTTTCGCTACGAAATTTGTGTCGTGGCCTTTTCTCTCATAAAGTTGTGTCTGTCTTTCTTGATTCTCTCTTTCTTTCTGTGCTTGTCTCTTTAAAATTTCTGTGTGACTTTCGCAAAGTTGTTCTTTTTACTCTCTCTCTCTCTCTTGCCTGCTTTGTTTCTTGCTTCCGCGCTCTCTCTCTCTCTTTTGCAGTTTTGCTTCTGTGTCTGCGTCTACTTCTTCTGCAGGGTTTGGGGAGAGGCAGAATCCTCCCCGCTCGTAGCCATGGCTTCTTCTCTTGCCTCTCTCTCGCTCTCTCGCTCTCTGCTCAAATTTACTTTCGTACCAGCATCACCATGTGACAAGGCTCGCAATGTGTTCAGCGCGGAGCAGATGTTGCGATGCGTGGAGACCACCCCTTTCCTGAGCCAATTCGGAATGGAGTGTCTGCTAAGTACTGGTATCCGACTTTGCCACAAGGACACATGCAAGTGAATGTGCAAGCGCGGATGGAAAGGGAAATGAAGCAAAGGGAGCAACCACGAGAAAACTCAAAGGCAAACCGATCAACCCAGTCAACATGCACCACGAAATACCGAAAGGAGCCGCAGGAAGAACCTGATTGATTGACAACCACACAAAACCACATCATCTAAATAGCGTTTATGAGAAGTGCTACACTGCTACACATTGCCAGGCCCAGCGGCGGCATGCCTGTGGTCCCTGACGTGTACATGAGCATTGCTCGATCCTTGGTGTAAAGGAGCTTAGGTTTCAGGCACAAACATGCATTCTGAGGAAGGACTTCTTGCTGCAGTGGCGTCATCTTGTGTGACAGCTGCTGTGTTCAGCGGTTGCAACTTCTGCCCGGCAATGACAACCTGCAGATGGCAAAGACATTTGCAGGCTACTGGCACTGGCACAGGCGCCGGCAGTAGTGCTGGTTGCTCAGATTGCACACATCCCATCAGTGCAGCGGAACCATTGCAGGCTTCGTAGAGGATTAAATGAACAATCCAGACAAAATCGGCATGGCAGTGCAAGCTGATCCGCTAGAGAAGTTCTTAGTCGAGAGTGTCTGGAAGTGTGCCTCGACTACAACCACTTTTTGAACACCGTATCGCTGTCTGACAGGCCACATGCCAGCACCTGTGCACCACCAGCCTGTCCAGCATTCAACAATGCTGCACCTGCTGCAGCGCACCTCCTCAAACCGTTGAGCACCATGCGGTGGAGTCGATGATCCAGCACGCATGCATATGGCCGGTATTCCTCACGGGTTTTATGCAGTAGTTCAAAAGCATTGGCCGTAACATGCCGAAAACGCGTGCATCGTGCGTCCATTGAGCATTGCAAGCTGCACTCTCTCTGAATTGAGTGTGGGCATGCTGTGTTGATTTTGTGCGCAGCTAAGCTAAGCTTTGGGCCCATGCTCGAAATGAAGGGAGCGCGTTCCAGTCGCTCCGTGTCCGCCACAAGCAGGCAACTCTGCGAATCCTCCAAGCCGTACCTTATTTGCAGCACGGGCTTTTTCCAGCCCGCACTTCTACTCTTGCTGTCATTACAACCTGTCGGCCGGCTCGACTGGCTCGACTTGTTTGTGTCAGCTCCTGCATTGCTTCTTTCACATGGCCACGCTAGCTTGTGACTATGCGACACTTCGCATGACACCCCTCTCCATGTATCTTTGCACTGCCCGACGTAGACGGCAAAATTCAAAGCTGCAATTACCAAGTCCACATGTTTACAGTACATGGACATGAAAGCGGGTTGCACAGTATCTCCTGTTGCCGATTGTTGAGCTGCCACTTTCGCATCATGGTTTCTGTATCATTCTGTCTTCAGCTGCTTTAGTCCCTTGTGCAGGGGCCCCTGTAGAGCAACAATGGGCCGAATGGACCGAAAGCGCAGCGTTTCGTACGTAGGACGAGTCGTTGTTCGGTTGCATCATGTTCATAGTTCTTCTGTAAGTAGGGTATTTGTGAGATCTTGTGTGTAGCCAGCAGAGAGACAGCAATGTTGGAGCTTTTGGACATTCTGGGCCACCGTCTATTAAAATGCTACGGCTCGATTATGTTTCCGTTTGGAGGTTGAGTCAGGAAGCGCGATAAGCGCGATGCCGTTTAGATTCTGATGTGGAATGGAACGGGCAACGGGGCAAAGCCAGACCTGGCCCTAACATCAAAGAATATCCAAGACATCTTTCTCCAAAATGTGTTGGGTACCAACCATGGCTCTTGAGCTCGTTGCCAGTCCACCACGCATTGACGGGCAAGGCCACAGCACCTAGCGCCAAGAACCGCAGAACTGGTGTAGAACCAACACCAATCAAGTGCTTCGCTGCTTCCCAAGGATTGGGGATATACTGCTGCAGGCCACTCACTGCCCAGTTGCTTCTTGTTCATACATCAAGGCTTTGACAAGGGGCCGAGATGACTGGTCACGGCCATAAAGGTGAAGATCCATTCCGGAAAATTGCGTCCCGCGATAGCTGCGCAGGACCCTGCCATGAAGCGCATGATCTACTTCTCCAAAAACGAAGGAAGTGCTCAGAAAAGTTCCATAGTGGTCTAATCAGCGTCCTTTTGCTCGACAAGTATCTAGCAACAAACACTTAGATGGTCTCACTGACCCTCAGGCCAGCACTGTACCAGTAGCTCACAGCATACAATGCGTTGCGGGGGATGTGACTGCAAGGCGCCAAGAACACCATCATAACCAGCTGGGTTGTATCCTAATTAGCAGCCGCTCATGCTCCTCCTCTGCATGACTGACTGCTCACGACTGCTTGCCGCTTGCCCATGAGAGCTACAGGCAAATGATGCTGTCAACGCCAAGTGCGAGGGCCACAAAATGAGCCTCGCTGAACGCCGAAGTCCTGCCGAAGCGACCGGGCGAGGGCAACCGAGATTTCCATCGCCCTCAGGTCACGTTCCGGAGCTTCACTTTGAAGGACCGACAGCGCCTAGCACCTACTGTTTTTGTATTTGTGTTGCATATTGCCGATGGTATGTGTCCATACACAGCTTCTTCTGACTGATATGGTGCGGGGGCGACTTTGCATACCTGTACTTTTATGCACATTAGTTGCATATTCATCACCTCAGCGGCTTCGGCTCTCACATGCTCTCACTGTGACAAACAGCATTCAGAAGCAATCAAAGAGTAGTAGCTGACTCAGGCCCTTCTGCTATGAATGTCGCGTTGCTGGCTGAAGGTGAAGCGCTCACCCTCGTAAACCTGATCTGAATGATGGCACAAGAACTAGCTTCAGCTCTCATACCTTCAGAGGACCTGTCGTGTCTTGTTGAGTTGGTAATGTTGGTACGCGAGCGGGAATTGCAAACTAGCCAAGCTGCCAAGAACTCCTTGTCACTGTAGCGGGCAAAGCAGTCGCCATAAAGCTCTCGCAGTGTGTGATGAACAATGCCTTGGCATTGTATCTGAAATGCCGTCCCAAATGCATCTACATATCTACAGTCCTTTTTCCTTGCCGTCTTTTCAAATGAACTTCTTTTTGCGGTGCCCATACTCACACGTCCTCTATGCCAGACTTTGCGCCAGTGAGAATGCACGCCAACCTTACGGCTGACACCTTGCTCCTGATCCTCCAGTTTCGCGCGCCGGGCTACGGCAACTCTATGTAATCCGTCTTGGTCTCTCTCTCTCTCTCTTACTTTCTTTCGGTCCAGGTTGGGGAAGGGGAAGGGGGGGGGGGGGGGGGGGGGGGGGGGGGGGGGGGGGGGGGGGGGGGGGGGGGGGGGGGGGAAGAGAGGTTATGAGTACCGCATACTGTAGCTACTGAAGGTGCTTCTCGTTGGCGTCGGGGACCGTTGCGAAAGAACACTTTCTGGCTTTCTGTGACAGAGGAAACTGCCTTCGAAGAGGCGCCGTGTTGGTAAGCAATTCCCCCTGCAACATCCTGAACTTAGCAGATGACACAGGTATGCACAAGTATGCTTTGGTCACATGATAGTTGACTCCTAGAGCTGCGAAACCAGCAGTGGGACTTAGTCTTCTTGAGCAATGTGCTACGCATGATGAAGGAAACTATCGGCGTCCTGCATGTGGCGTTGGAAATAAGCATCTCTGTGTGGTACACCCGCCCTGAACTCGAGAAACCTTCTGCCAAGAAGAAAATAAAGTAGCCGTGAAGCTGTTGGGTCCTTTCTGCCAGCATCGATATCTCCTATCAGCGCACAAAGCTGGAAACGTCCATCCTTCATGTTGTGTCATGCTTCTGACAGTCGAGAACCAAGAAGCCCACCATCAAATGTACGGGTACGACCCGCGTGCCGTCAGTACCAGAGCAGTCAGCACAGTCCACCAGAGCCGCCGCCACCACCCACCAACCACGACCACCACCACTCGTCACCACCGCCACCCCCGACCACCACAACCACAGGCATCGCACTATGAACGTTGCAACCCGAGTGCCTTCTCACGACATTTTAGCACTTTGCAGGCAAGAATCTGGGTAGTGCCATAATGCTGCACTTCCTCCTCTGCAAGAGGAAAAGGACCATCTGGAGCAGTCATTCGTGCCAACCCTTGTCGATATTCCTGGCAGCTTTTGAATGTCTGTCTTGCTGCCCACACGCCGCGCAGCCACTCGAAATCTTCTGCCTGCCCTCCAAATACACCCAAATCATCTGAAGCTTGCACCCCGAACCGAACCTCGGAAACGGAAAAAGCTGTCCTCGCAGGCTCCGGGCATTTCAAGGTCCCGGCAAACTCTCGCAAAATGACGACGAAGCCCCCCCCTTTGGGCCCGTGACAGCTTTGTAAGGGAGCTGGAAGATACGGAGTCCCTGAACAAAAAGGGGCCTCAAATGATGTCACCAGATTGAGCAGTCAGTCCTGAAGCCATTTCTTCACAAGCTGCTCGCTTTCGCTAGCAGCGCCATCATCCGGCGCTGACATCGTAACCGACTAAACGGAAAAAAAGTGCCGCTTGAGCCTTAAAACGACATCCTCACACCAGGGAGTCGCCATGTACTTCCTTCTCCCGCCGATGAATGCAGCACATGCACTGTCGCACTCCGAGCCTCAATGATGTGCTTCACATCATTCCAAACACTCAATGTGCCTGTCAAACAAAGGCTGGCCCCTTTCACAACAGTGATCATGTGGCTCGCCACGCCACACCGTTCCAAGAAGACATCAACCCAGAACCCTTGATGCGCAGTAAGAGGACTGCAGCTGAATTTAAGGAACCCTCCAGGGCTGAGGATCTAGGCTAGACATGCGTGCCTTGTGCCTACTGCATCCTCATGGGGCTGAAAAAGGCTCAGAGGTTGAGACATGTTGAGACGTTCATGTTCTTGGAGATCTTGGTTGACCTTTCATCTGTGGATAGCGGGCCCTTCACTGTGATCAGCCTGATCACCAACCCAAAGCCATCAACAAAACATGGTGAACTGTAAACCTGCCGCCTCTGAATATGAAAAGCAAGCGCTACAAATTATTGGTCATCGTGTTGGCTTTCCTGATTCCTGATACGTCTGCTACGCAGTGCAATGATAGCATTCGCCTCCTGGGAAAAACGCAGGTCCTTTGCGCGCGCCCTCTGCGCCACCACTGACCCCCATTCCGAGAAAGCCTTGGCAGCACATACAGAAGCGGGGAAACACACCTGAGAGCTTCTGGGAGATCCGACAGAGGAAGCAACTAAACATATCCTCCAGAGGTGAGCTGGCTCCCAATATACCTATGTCGACACATATGTGCGCATGCATATATGTGCAAGTACGAAGGCGAAAACAGTCTGCATTTGAAACCGCGTGGCGCACCCGCGGGAAATTTGCAAACTTTTGCAACTTGCAACGGCTGACCTCTTTTCGGCACCACATAGAGTCTGCAAGTTAACGGGCACCTCGCTAACATCTGTGCCGCTGCAGAGGGCCTGACGGTAGTTGAAAGCGGTTACAGTATTTGAGCATAGATGCAGTAAGACTTGAAACTTGCAGAAGTACGCTATTATTTGCAGTACCCAGCCGAGCCCGCCAAAGCAGCCAAACTCTTGATCTCCGATGTTCCGAGGAACGCAGACCGCGCTTCTCCAGGCTGTCGGCCCTGGACAGTTTGAACAATGGAGCTGCGCCGAAGTGGAACTACGAGCTTCGATCTGGGTGTGGCGCCGAATGCCGCAACTAGTGTTGATACATGCATGTTGAAGCCAGTCATGTCACTTGAGGCTAGTGACTAGTTGGCCAAATCCACAAGAGCAGCCCTGAGGAAGTAACGTAGTTGAGCAATAGCAACTATCAGGGAGAGACTCCGAGTGCTACGCGATGCTACGAATGAACGCCAACGCTCGACGAAGTCTGTTCTAGGTCGAGCCATCGAGTTGCGGCGAGCCTTCGGATCTGATCACGAAAATTCGCATTGCCAACGTCAATGATGATGTCATCTCGGTGGGCTCAAGCAACAGCTCTGTCACAAGTCACTGCACACTTTCACACAGACATGCTGGCGAGCCTGATTGCCAAAAATCCAAGTCTAGCTATGTTTTGTCGCACAAACAGCTGATTCAGATGGCAGCCGGTGCTACCAGGTGACTGCTCTCAAACAATGCCGCCAAGTCCTGCACTCTGCTGCAGTTATTTTGGCGTCAAACCCACGCCCACACTTTAAACCATGGACGGCCTAGTAGATTGACATGGTCTGACATTTCTCACCTCAGCTGTATGGCTGTCTTCAACCCATTCTGGTCCTCAATCACTGCGTCTGTAGCCGCGCCGGCCGGAACTAGCATGATTGCCTTAGTGGGGGTTTGCAAGGTCATGCCGGAGTACCAATGGGGTACCCTACATGCACATACTCTGCTTCTTGTGGTGCTCCATTGGACAGGGCACCTTGCGGGGTCTTTTCAGAGAAGCCACAAAGTCCTGCCAAATTCAAGGCGGTGGCTGAAGCCGTAATTCTAGGCATACGAACACATTCTGCTTTATGCTCGTTTGAACAATTCGACACAATTGCAGCTTCACAGTTCTGAGCCGGCAACACCCAACCAACGATCGCAATGCGTTTGCTTGTCTCCCGGCTTTGTCAAGTCAAGTTGGCTAGCTACTGTACAGGTCACAACATGTCTGCAGAGAGCTCGGCGCACCGCACAGGGAGTGTGTATGCTTGGCATGAGATGATGCGTTCTCTGCAGGCAGGGCAAAAGTCCAATGCAAATTCTGCTGAGCAAGCAACGTGCTTGTTCACTGGTGCCTTTTATGACTTTTGTGTGCAACTGCACCCTTCAGATCGCATTCTTTGATCTGGTCACAACCACTCTCGTCTCCTGACAGTTCCGGGGTTGCTGCTTGGGCACACATGTCATAGCACCGGCGATGAAACTCAGCAGGCCCAGTGACAAGTTCCAGCTCGGGAGTATGAGAGCTTCTAGAACACGTGTGCTGTTGGTGGACCAAGATGGAACTTGCAGAGGGGCGGCACTGAAGGCGAGGCCAACCAAAAGTATCGTCGCACTCTTCAGTTGGTCGGAACATGAAGCTCGCCCCCAACTGCGGTACACTGCGCCGTGATATACATATCTATATTTACACATATATACACAAAACCGTATATAGAAGGTATAATATATATACATATACATAAGATGAGCGTCTGGGACCGTCTGAAGCATGCCGCGAAGTCTTCCTGTGCCTCAGAGCAAGACTCTTCTCAAACTCACTGCGCAACAGGAGCATGTAGGCCAGGTCACAAACCGACTTGCGTTATTCTTTGATGCTGCTTAAAATGGTGTCTAAGATGGTGGAGGTTCTGATTGGATTTGGCAGTCTTTTGCTGAAAGCTTCCGGGGTCACGTAGGAAGTGCTGGGATTACTGAAGAGCCTGGATGGAATTTCAAGATGTTGAAGGACATGGTCGGATTTGATGTTGCAGGAGCCGCAAGCGGTCTCGCTTCAAGTGCCTGTCACATGATGTTTCGTGCCTTGGCTTGGCATTGATTTCTCATGTCTGAGTGGATGGGTTTCACTTGCAAACTTGGCTCCCTATCTGTCCCCATTGCGATGTTCTTGAATCTTACCCTGCTAGCCGACTGCAGCACCTCTAAGCGGCATCCTATCTTCTAAGCCCGGGCCGCGGTTAATTTCCATGTCGCAGATCCACGACGGGGTGGTGAGGGCTTCAGCCAGCGCACGGCGAAGAGAAAACACAAATGTGCTGTCTTAATGAAAGCAAGATGTCACTGTGAAGTGCTTGGGTCTGGGCTTGATTTTGTGGATATTGGATCCGAGGGCTCTCCCTAGCTGCATCGAGGAGAGTACTCCCTGTGCTGTGGTGGTCTGGCTTCAGGTTCGGCAAAAGGCTCAAGGGGCCAATGCTTGCGATCTTTCGCTATGTGCACGTTGCCAGCAATTTCCTTGTGGGCACTTTCTTGAGGATGTCCTTGTGAGGTTTCATAAGCTCTGAACCTCGCAATAGTTTTACTTGTTGTCGTTCGTGCTGCATAGAAAAAGCAAACCTTCAGACAGACACACACACACACACACACACCCATCCACCAACACAAAATCCTAAACCGAAGGACTGAAATGGGCGGACTGGTCCAAGTCCTAGGAACGCTCCGTTTTGCTATCGCTCGATTTTGCTGTTCGGGTCATTCAGACGCAAAGCCATTACTGACAGCCTTCGTGTCCGCAGCCGAGTGCTGCTTTTTGTCCAGGGATGTCAAGGGTGACGCTGCGCCAGGGAGTGGGTAAGCTTGCGCCCTTTACGCCTCTGCGTGTTTGACAAGGCTTCAGCGCCGAGGACGGGCGTCGTTGCTTGTGCAGGGCAGGAATGCACAGGATGCCGGTACATCCAACAAGGTGGATGCTCTGTTGCCTGAAGCTTTCGAGAACGATAGCGAAGCCTTTTGCTGAGCTCCAGCGCAGCCATAATTCACGCAGTTTATGGGCAGTTTGCAAGATATTCTAAGCACGGCAAGCACAAAGCCGCAAAATCATAAAGCGGGACGAGCTCGCAGATCCTGCAAGTCTCCGGCAGGACGTCTCTTTCCCTGCCCCCCCCCATGACCTTTTCTGCATGTCATTGCCGCGCCAGAGCTGCTGACCCGACAGGTAAGGGCTGCACTCAGTGTGCTTGCTCTCCGCTTGCTAGGGGGCGGCCAAGTCAAACGACAAGCCTGAGCTGTGTGCAGCTCAGTGTGTTGCTCACGGTATCAGAAGGCCAAGGTGTCTCGTGACAAGGCCTTTCAGTGCTTTCACTGCTTCCAGTGCAAACCGAAGCGCAAGTATTTGTCCTTAGCCAAGTTCTATGCTCAAGCAAGTATGCCCCCAGAGTCAAAGCGCATGTCATCCATTTCAGGCTTACGACTGGCAAAGCGCCGGCAGTTGACCGCTGGTCCAGTGCTATGGACACATTCTGGCTCTGTCAGCTCTCACGTGTCAATGCCAGGCTTCCATGTCTTCGTCGCTCCGGAAGGCATGGCGAAGAACGAACGCCACTAGAACTGCAGCAGCAGCTCCTGAAATGGAGGCATCCATTTCAAACTGACTGCGTCCTGCAAGCCGTTGCAGTTCCAGACTGCCCAAACAACTCCTGCTGAGGCAGCTCCCACCACCAACAAGCGGACCTCACGAAGAGATCACAGCGTTCGACTTCACCAATGCACATCAATGCACAATGAACTCAATGCCAGCTGGGCGGGCGAACCGACTTGGGCACCAGTCTGACTAAGCGACGCACGTCCTTGCGTGTGTCCAGATTGTCTGGCTCGGCCACCATGCCCACAGCTGCCTGCACAGCCGCTTTCCGGACATTCTGTCATGATGCTTTTGATCTCAAGAAATGGAATGACGTTGCGGGCCTTGTCCCCTGCAGACTCCACGAGTTCACGGACGCTGCGCAGGGCTTCCCGACGCCGGAGCCTGGCCTGGCAAAGGTGTCACGGTGGCCCTGGCACTCCACTATATGGCACTGTGCTGCGCTATACTGCCGCTATACTATGCGCCCATTTGCTTGCATGAATCTGCGATCTGGCGCTGGGCCGACCTTCGCCACCTGCGCATCAAATTGCCTGCAGTTTTGCAGTATCCACACTTGCAAAACAGCGCTTCAACATGTGACGTCTAGAAAAACGTCTGTCTGTGATGGAGAAGTTAGATCTTCAGGGGCCGCTCATGGCAGCTCTGTGTACTTCTCTGCGCGCCTTGGTAAGCTCCTCGCTGCATCCTCTGTCGTGCGAGCGCCTCCGACAAATCACTAGAATGCAGTGGGTCGGCAGGGTAGCGGTGAACCGGGTGCACGCATGCAGGGAAGTTGGGATGTTTTCGTGTTCCGTTGACTTTTAACCGTTCTCTACTATAGTAGAATAGAAGAGCCGCGATGATTCTGTGTCGCCGACACCAAGGCACCAGGGGGTTTTTGGCACAGTGGCACTCATCAACTTCCATGCCTTCGTCTGGTTCAAGTTGTGACTACACTTGTGTTGTTGCAGCTTGAGCATCGCATCAAAACATTTGCTCATGTTCGGCACAAGCCAGTGAACCTTGACATCATCAGCATTATGTTGATGACGGTCGATGCCGACAGGGGTGTCGCATTTTTTCGGATGATTGGTTCGTTCAGGTGCAGGGCGACGATTCACAAACATCCTGTGTCAACCCTGTTCGTTGCACCAGCATGAAGGAAGCTCATCATGCCATGAGGCAATGGTTGCTAACAGGGTCAGGCGGCGGTTTTCTACAGCAGATCAACCGAAGACCAAGATTCGCAGCCTTACTGGCATGTCACACTTTCGGATTTCCAGTCCTTCGAGGATGTGGAGTAGGGATTCGCCACTGGCTTGCAGGCAAGTGCCCTCTTTGCAAATAAGAACGCCTCTGCGCTAGACGATGGATTGAATTCGATGAAAGCATCAACCTCTGGCTTCATGCTAGTAGTAGCGGCTTGTATAATGGCCTGACCACATTTGCCAGCAATTCGAGCGCAACACATTTTCTGAAGAGCCATTGCAATGATCTAGGCCCACCTAGGCCTTCAGCGGGACTGCGCTGCCGCAGGGAAGCAAATTCTTGCTTCTTTGTGTCCCTGCTGTTGGCAGGTCCATTTGCTTGACACGCTCTGCAAGAAGCAGAAACCCTTTAGCTCACTGAAGTGACAGTGTTGTCCAGAGACGACGACTTTCGCACAAACATAGTCGTTGCTGTGTTGTTGCCCAGCTTCCTCTGGCGAAGCTTTTCGTCTTTAGCGAGATGTGCAAAGGAGACGAAAGATGACTTGTGACTTGGGCAAAGTCACAACATGCCAGGCTTCAAGAGCAAAGGTTCGGGCCAAACACGCCCGCCCCACGTAAAATCACGTTGTGCTTCTTTGAACAAGTCTACGCTCTAAAGCGGGAGGGCAATCAAATTGGGACTCGAACATGCTTGTCATGCAGAAGATCTTCACCAATCACAGCCCGCATTGGCTTATTTCACCCCAGCTCGCCTTTCTCGGCGACGTCCGAAACGTGACGTGCTGCAGTCTCCGCCATGCGGTCAAACCTTCCACATCTGCAACGTGGGATGGCTGCTGGAAACCTAGAGACATCACCCCATATGCTCCCTGCCATCCGTTGCCTGTCAGACATATCCGGAAGGTCGAATTTCCTTGCGACGCGATCGAGGTGATCCGTCTGATGGCGGGCTTCCCTTGCTAGACGGTCGGCCTGATGGGACACAAATTGGACACAATGAACTGAGGGCTTCAAAAGTCGGCATCCTGCACCATGCTTCAACCGATTGTGCGGGATTCTTGCATGGCCAGAGTCGGATAGCTTCCGATGCTACCTCGTGAAGGTCAAGGCAGTGGCCTGGTCTCGGGCATTCCTCGCAGCATCGCGCCCAGAGTCCTGCCCAGCTCCGGCAGCTATGTCGACCGCGCAGTGGAAGCTATTTAGGTCTATAGATTGTATAGGGCAGATCCGGGAACAGAGTGGGGAATTACATAGCCCTGTGTTGTACTGCAACGTACTACAAGCATCAGTTGAAATTCTGTGGCTAGGTGGAAGCCGAAGCAAAAACACCCGACACTTGATTTCAGACCGTGTGTTGTGTTGCTGAAGCATAGGAATAGAGCTTTCTTCGGAGCTCGCAATACCGAGCATCATTATCAGAAGGCCATGTGGCAATGCAGATCCTGCCTCAATGTGTCTGGAGGCATCATTCAGCAGCTTGGCAGTTCGGCTTTCCACTTTCGCAAGCTTGGCGTCTGCTGCCTCTGTCAAAAGTTACTGTCAGTCTTGTCGAGTATCTGTGCATCGTGCATGCAGTCCGCATGAACAATGGGAGCAGTGGGCTCTTGTGCCAGACTTTCTTAATGAGCACTGTGCATAGGGATTTAAATGTGACGAAGTTTGTGGCCTCCATTTCCTCCAGCACCTGCCTTGCAGAATCTACGTGCGACTTTGCCACGTCTGAGGCTGCCTCCTTCACAATGCACAGCCGCACGAACGAACACCATCAGAGACCCCTGCGCATTAACACTTAATGGACAGTGCACAATGGGCCTTCTGCAAACTGACAAAACGCTCCGAAAGCTGCTCGTGGCTGATGCCCAGCTCGGATTCCGCACGCTGTCGAGCCGAATGCTCCTTTCGGGCCCATGGAGCTTGAGGAGTCGCGAAATTCAGGGGGTAACCTCATGGATCTTGCGGGTCGAGCTGAGCTGAGGCAAGATCTGAGAAGTTCAGGGGAACACGCACGGGGTCCCTTGTTTTTGGTTTTTGTGCTGTGTACGCAGAGTGAGCCGGGTTCCATACATCGTGCATGGGTTGGGGGGGGGGTGGAGTTGTGGGCTCTGCGACAATGCGCGAGAGGAGGTCTTGTCTTACCCAATAGCCAATAACAAAAGCCATTTCTGGATTCCGGCCAATGCCCTGGGCCACTCATAGAAACGAAGGACTGGCTACCGCTAGCTCTCGTGACATGAGAACACTCCCGTGACAGCACTGGCAGCCCTGTCCGCGCTGCGGAGCGACTCATGCATCTTGTTTTCCAGGTCGCTGCCCAAGTCCGAGATCCTGTCAAGCAATGCATATCATTGTTGAGGCACGCTGCAGCTTCTGCTGCAAGGCCCACCTCTTCAAAGTTGCCTTCGCAGAGTCCACGGCCCCTAGCAGATCGCAGCAGCTGCAGGCGTGAGGTCGTGAGTGCTGTGGTATAATAGGTGCAAGCTCGAAAGCGTCATTTCGCCTTGCAAGGTCTCCTGCCCCGTCGACTGAGGCCTCAATGTCAGAGGTTGTGCGACTCCATGTGACAACTCAAATGCCGCAATTGCCGCAATTATAAGAAGCTTGATTCGACAGTGTTTGCAGGGTTGCTGCCAAACAATCGCCAGGGTTCGCGCGCAGGCTGAGAAACCTTCATCATTGTCCAGGTGTTTTCATGTCACACTAGCGACAGTGGCCAGCAAGAATACATGTACTGGTGAGTGAAAACGTGTGACAAAGGATGTGATCTTCCGGAAGTGCAACTACTGCCCTTTGCGTGTGGTTTGGGCTTGTTCCCAAATGTTCTCTGTTGGGCGCGGTTGGATGGTTAGCCGGACTTCGAATCGACTCAGTCTGTGTCAAGTTATGATGCGAACCCCCCCCCCCCCCCCCTCCCCACATCCACATCCGCGAAGAACACAAGCGCAAAAGACGCATATAGCAGCATGGTGTAATAGCGATTGGCTTCCCGCTTTCAGACTGTTGGCGAGGTGTGTGTGTGTGTGCTACATGCTTGACTCCTTGACCACAATATATCGCAGATGCAAGTCCCAGCACGGGGTAACCGGTTGTGGGGGGCGGGAAGGGTCCGTCCCTTTGGTGAACTGCATGGCCCGAAGGCGCCCCCTGCGATCCCAGGATAGCTCTGCACTTTACTCGGGCCGGCAATGTGTTTTGTTCTCTCTCTCTCTCTCTCGCTCTATTTCTTTCTTTCAGGCTCTCTGCTGAAAGCTATTCCCGTGGCTTTTGCCTTGAGATTGACAAACGTGTGGCAACTATCAACGGGTCTCGAGTCAGGGGAGTGGCGTAGATGCGCACCTTCGGGTCTTCCACTGCCCGCACGACTGCCAGCGCCAGGGCCACACTGCAGAGCCGTGCCATCGCCTCGAAAGGCTGAAAAGAGAAGTGCGCGATCCTTGAAGCTCTGCATGAGCTTGCGTGCTGCAGGTTGAGGCTGTCTCAAGCAGAGATGCCAAGAGCTCAAATTCAGCTACCATATGCAGCACAGTAGGAGGGTGGGTAACAGGACCGATAGTGGAACTGGAGATAGACGTTGGGATGCTTCCTTTCCATCAGCCGCACAGGGAGTTGGAAGGAGGACACTTGGGGGCGCTAGGTAGTGCGAAGGAGCACAATATTGCACACCGCATCTTCAAATATGTGAAGTGGAAGAGGACACGCAGGAATGCGGCAAAGGCAGAGCTAACATGGTTGATCTGAATCAGGGGCCCTATTCGGAGTATGCCAACGTCGACGGTCGAGGCCCCCGAAATGCTTCTCCTTTGCATTACTACCCTTTTGCGCAATGAGTGATGAGCCAAATAGTTAACAATGATGAGCATTGTCTCGCCACGGCTGCTGTCAGAGTCATACCGATTCGATTATGGGAATGCTGCAGAGCGCCTAGCTGCAGGTCCTGCATTCGTTTCCAACATCAGTCTGCCTTGCAATGTCAAAGGGAAGAGGCGATCACGCAAGCACGTTCAAGCCACGCTGCAGAAGGCATCCGAACTCTTTGTACTTGAAGAAGCACGCCCCACAAATGCACACGTGTGCTACTGCTGTGTTGGCTTGCTTGAGCCTCGATAATGGAATCTGAGTTGTCCAGAATAAGCATCGCTTGGCGCATGGTGCGCCGCTGTGAGTACCAAGCACGCATCATCTACTTCCTCTAAAGCAATATATAAGCGTTGACGATGCGCGACGTCCTTCAGCTTCTCCTTGCCACCAAAGCCATGAAGGTTCTGGTAAGCTGAATTGGTGGACAGTACCTGAAGCACAAGATGGCACGAGGTTCGGCATCTGAATGTGCTTTCAAGCGGCTGCACTGGTCACAAGAATCTACCACTGCCTCAAACATCGGCTATGCTATATGGGTTGGCAAATGCGTCGGCAAGAATGCACAGGAGACGAGACTTTTCAGCCTCCATGGCATCAAATCCGGAAACGTATGGAACCGTCAGGTTGCGCCGGATCTTCCACTACTGTATGGGTTTAAAGCGTCTCCATTGCCGGTAGGGCAGGCCTCAAACAGACCCTCCGGGCCGGTATGTTGGGGTGTGTATCCTTGATAACAATGTTTACGCACTTTTGCCCTGTTTCTTTTTTTTGTGCTCACAACAGCCTCGTAGAAACATCCGAATCAACACGGGAAGCCAGCCATTCCACGCCTGTCGCCTCGAGCGAGCTAACCCAACCCCTCAAGGTGCAACTGATTCACCATTTGTCAGAGCACTCCCTAAATTCCTAAATCCTCCCCAGCGCCTTCTGATTGCATGGGGTGATGAGCATTCGGGCAGGTTGTTCTATCGGGGAGGCCGAGTTCGGACTTCAGCCAAAGAGCTGGTTCTTTTTTCAATCAAGGGAACTTCTCTCTGATATCCCACATGTCTCTCTGTCGCTGCATGCTGCCGCCGGGCTACTGACTTCACCTGTTCGCTGCTGAGGTCGTACAGGGACACCTCGCCACTTGGGCAGCATGCCGTCAATAGGCTTCTGGAATGGCACCACATTTCTGTATATTAAGCATACGTCTTCCCCTGCTTAAGAGGATGCAATTTGACATCTGCTGTAGGGTAGAAACAGCTCGCACGCACACGCGCGCACACCCGCGAACAAACACACACACACACACACACACACAGACAGACACACACACACACACAGACACACAGACACACAGAGACACAGAGACACAGAGACACAGAGACACAGAGACACAGAGACACAGAGACACAGAGACACAGAGACACAGAGACACAGAGACACAGAGACACAGGCACACAGCCACACAGGCACACAGGCACACAGGCACACAGGCACACAGACACACAGACACACAGACACACAGACACACACAGACAGACACACAGACACACAGACACACAGACACACAGACACACACACACAGACACACAGACACACAGACACACAGACACAGACAGACACACAGACACACACCACAGACACACAGCCCCACACAACACACAGACACACACACACACAGACAGAGACACACACACACAACCTCAGACACACCACAGACACACAGACACACACACACAGACACCACAGAGCACACACAGACACCAACACCAGACACAGACACACACAGACACAGACACACACACCGACACACACACATACACACACACACCAGACACACACACACACATACACCACACACACACACACACACACAGACACACACACACCACACCACCACAACACACACAGACACACACAGACACACACAGACACACAAGACACACACACACCCACCCACACACACAGACACACCACACACAAACCACACAGACACCACACACACAGAACACACACACACACAGAACACACACAGAGACACACACACACACACACACACACACCACACATACACACACACCACACACACACCACACACACACACACACACACACACACACACACACACACACACACACAACCACACACAGAACACAGACCCACACACACACAAACACCACACACACACACACACACCACAACACACCCACACAGACACACACACACACACACACAGAGAACACACACACACACAGACACACACCACACACAACACACAGACACACACACACACACACACACACCCACCACACACACACACAACACAACACAACACACACACACCACAACACACACACACACACAACACACCCACATACCCAACAGACACGACACAGACACAGACACGACACCGAGACAACAGACACAACACAGAAACGAACACCAGAGACCCACAGAGAACACACATGAGACCCAACTGCACACAGAACACACACGCACACCCCACCCACACTACACCCAACACACACACACACACACACGCCACGCACACTCACACGCACACCCTCACACGCACACGCACCACTCACACTCCACACACACACCATACACACACACACGAGACAGCAAATCGGACAAACCTCACAAGAGACACACACGCAACACCCCCACGAACACACCCACACACCCCACACACACACACACACACACACACCACACACACACACCCCCCACACACCCACCCTCCCTCCCCCCACCCTCCCAACCCCCGCCCACACACCCACGACACACAGACACAACACAGACACACACACACACACATCAGACACAGGAACAACGCTACACAGAGACACATAGAAAACACACACCACACCCACACACAGACACACAGACACAGCGAAACACAGAGACACAGAGACCACCACACACAGAGACACCAAGACCACAGACACAGACACAGACACAGACACAGACAGCAGACACAGACACACAACACACACACAACCACAGACAGACACAAAACAGACACATACGAACACACACACACAAACACACACACACACACACACACACCCACACACACACACACACACACACACACACACACACGCACGCCACGCACGCACGCACGCCCGCACGCACGCACGCACGCACGCCCAACGCACTCACTCAGCTGGCACGCACGCACGCACTCACACAGACACGCACCGCACCGCACACGCACACTTGAGCACACGCACACGCACACGCACACGCACCTCCCCACGCACCCTCACACTCACGCGCACACGCACAACGCACACTCACACGCACACGCACACTCCACCCACACCCACACCCACCCCCACCCACACACCACACCCCCACACCCACACCACCACACACACACCCACACACACACACACACACACACACACACGCACGCACGCACGCACGCACGCACGCACGCACGCACGCACGCACGCACGCACGCACGCACGCACGCACGCACGCACGCACGCACGCACGCACGCACGCAAGCACGCACGCACGCACGCACGCACGCACACACACGCACACACACGCACACACACACACACAGACAGAGACAGAGACGGAGACGGAGACGGAGACGGAGACAGAGACAAAGACAGAGACAGAGACAGACACACACACACACACACAAACGCAGACGCAGACACAGCACACATACAGCACAGACAGCCAAGCAGGCTGTACACACGTGTGTATATATATATATATATATATAAAAGTGTGTGTGTGTGTTTGCATAATATAACAATACAAGATGATATAGACAAAAATGGACATGTGCTTGCGTGTGCATCTTTTCCATCCCCACCCCCAAGTGACTGAAAAGTACCAGAAGTGCCACACTAAGTCACGAACAAGAAGGTTGTGTGGATACGTGTGCAGCCTCTGTGGAACTGACGTTTTCGAACACACCTGACAAACTTGATCATTCAATACAATGCCTTTTCTCTAGCAAAGTCTGTGTGTTTCTGATGATGCCTTGTTCGAATTCAGCCAAAAAAATACCTGACTATTGCCGGATCCGGAGGGCCTGAGTCTGGAGTGCTTTGCGGGAATTGAGTTGTTCCTCCATGCATGTGTGCGTCTTGAGGTTGCTACTGATGTGTGCCTTTAATGATTCTTGTCGTGCTTTGTCTCAGGGCAAGGTCTTCGATCAGAAACTGTGCTTTGACGGTCGAAGGTGAACAGAAACTAGTCACTAGCCCTCCCGGTCTTCCAAGTTTTTGGTGTTTGATTTTGTTAATTTGGATGTGGGGCCTTCCAAAGCAGATGTGTGCTGCAATTCCTTCGGGATACATCGGGCAACAATTTCTGGTCTGTACAGCAGTTCTTGAAGCACTTGCTCTTGTTGTTTTTGTGCTCATCGGTACAGTGAGCTTCTTTGAGACTGCAAACAACTCTTCAGCACTCAGGCCTGGAAAGGCTTTCCTTCATGGGACTTGTCAGCGATATTCAGGCCCAAGTTCGAGCCCATCACCCCACTGCCTCAAAAACTTTTGCAGGTCTGAGGGACACTCGAGCGAGGCAGCACGCAACAATGAACTCCTGATCTGACCTGTTCCTACTGTTCCTAGCTGACGGCTGGAGAGAGCTGGGTTGCAAACCGATTATGCCAATATCGGACACTGCCTGGCTGGATCTGCAGGCTGCGATAGCGGCTTTATTGACCCTGCGGAAAAAGGATGAGCCGTCAGAAATTCCGCGCACCCGACTAGGATCACTAGCAGCATTGGTACAGATTGGTACAGTGAGGTCCCTTTGGGACGGATTTGCCCCAATGCTATGCGATCCCTGAGTTGACAATGCATGACATGATCGTGTCGCTTGTAGGACGCCCCTGTATGCCCTATTTAGGTTGCTCTCCGGCAGCCATTGTCATCTACTAAAGATCGCCCCTCAGCAATGAACTTGTTGAGCCTCCGTGGTGGCCATCGCTGCATCAGAGGGGGCAGACACAGTTGCAGAGAGACTGCAGGAATCACTAGACGACTCGAGCCGAACCAGTCAGAAACACCCAGGAGTGCGTGGTGGCAGAACGTGGCAGCGCGAATCAGCGCAGGGCCCGAGCCGGGCCGCAAGCATGCTCAACGCCATGCAACTTTCGGTGCGCGGTCTTCCACAAGGTCTTCAGCTTCTGCTGTCGAATCACGTATGTAGTGGGTGAGCTCATGGGTGTTATACTAGTTCCTGCAGAAAGAATCTAAACCTGCCCTCTTCTGTGGTCAACGCCATGCAAACTACACTTTCGGAAGCTCTGACGTGCCAAGGCCATTGGCCAGGAGAACCTCTTCTCTGCCGACGGAATGCCCCCCTTTCCCCGCCCCCCCAACTTTACAACTGTCTACACGCACCACTTCTGCACTTGTGCAATACTGTCCGCTACGCCGTCTCAGTGTGCCTACATATGACATGGCCACAAATGCCAGCGCATTCTTGGCGCATCTAGGTACAGCGTGTCAGTGCTTGAATCAACCCAAGGAAAAAGGACTTCTTCTAATCATCCGCATGGAACCAGCAGCCTCAAGGCGGGTTGAGTTCGGCATCGTGCCGGAAGCCACGTGCATGTTTACCACCACCACACTCCCGAAACCTCTCCCGTGCTGGCATCCCAAGCCCGACCTTTGACATCCCTTCAACCTTCCCGACAGATCCCGACAGCAAACTGAGCAAACGCTTACCCCTCAGGTGCCAAACCACCTTCTTGCCTGGATAAATTGTTCTACAGGTTTGTGTTTTCGCATGCCGCCTGACACCCGAATCATTTGACAACCTGTGCCTGTGCGGCGATATCTCATTTTCAGAGGCCCTCAGCGCTGTCCACGAAGCAGAACCTGCACTCGGACCTTGACTGTGTGATCTACATGGCTTAGCCATGACATCGAATATCCACTCTGCGCGTGCTGGCTTGTACAACGTGCCCGCGCTTGTAAAGAATGAAACTTCAGCCTGTGTCGGCCGCTGACGGACGACAGAGAATCCTCTTTGTTGGCTCTCTCGTGTGCAGCTGCAAAACAAAAATACAAGTGCTCGTCTGCACTCCTGAATTCCAGTGGTTGCGGTCTCTAGGATTACAGGACCCTTAATTCTGCTTCAACGAGATATTCAAACAAAAGAATCGCAACCACACGCTCCTGCACACGCTTGCGTTTATTTACACCAGAGCTATCAGAGTAGCTGGGGCGCAGGAGCACTGCTCGTCCAGCTCTTCTGGCTTCGGAAATTGTCAGGCTGTTGCGAATAGCCGTCTCAGTCGCCCTGCAGGAGAGACATGCACGGAGGTACAACGGCAGGTGGTGGACACATCCTATCCAATGGTCTGAACATGTCTAAACTCGAAACACAGTTTGGAGGCTCCGGGGCCTAGACCGACGTCAGCTCTGCTTAGGTTTTGCCGGGTTGGCCGGTTCTGTCCCCTTCAACGCCTGGACGCTCTCAATTAACTAAATATTTCGCTCGGTCATCTTCTTTCGGCCTGTGTTGACCTGAGCCACCTGCTTGGCACAGTATGGCCACGTAATCTTAGGGTGCCACATCCTGGCCATCTCTCATACCTTTTGGGTGCGCTATTTGCTTGCGATCTTTGGGCCCGAATTGCCAGCCCAAAGAACCTGACCCAGGGACCCGGATGAATTGAACCTGCAGACCCGCATCACGAGCCTTGTTGGCCTCGTCCTGGCAGAATCTAGCTTCGGGCTTCTCAGAAACATACCAGCATCACGCATACGTAAGGCATAAGACAATGCTTGATCCATTCGGCCGCTAGGGAAACCTGTGACCGTTCGAGTATGCACAGCCTTGGACCCGGAGCTGCTACACTACGTCCAGTGACAAGCTGCCCCCCCCCCCCCCCCCGGTCCTGCAAGCGCTTGTTGCGGTTGTGCAGTCGCTTGCGCTCTCCGTCTTTCTGCGAAGCGAACATGCGCATGGCAATCAAGCACTTGCATGTCGTGCCGGGTTTGGAGATGATTGGGCGTGACAGCTGAAAGATGACATAATGAGCGATGTCAACATATCGCAGAAGTACCAGGCTCATCCGAACTTCCAAGAATGGTTGCTATGATTCCATGAAGTACAGCTGGATGGAGTTTTCGGTTTTCCTGATTCACTTCTTGTTCAGGTGGTCATTTCTCAAAATCCTTTGTCCAAAAATATGTTCCGGAATTCATGTGGTGGGGGGGGGCCATGTCCAAACAACAAAAAGCTCCCATACACAATATGGGCAAGCAACAAATTCACATCAGCCCAGAAATACCTAGCAAACACCCTGGCGTGCCTCTTCATAATGTTGACTTCACATTAGTGGATCCACCCGCAATTGTAAAATCCCGCTGCCGGAACACAATAGTGTAGCCCGCCACAATTGTAAAATCCGACCCGGGAAATCCGGGTTTTACGGGCGTGGTGCTACTACCTAATACTAAAACTAATAGTACGTCCTACCAGGATTTAGGCGAACAGTATTGAGGAGGCCCTGGCCGGAGAGATTGATCAATGAAGGGGGGGGGGGTTTATTAATGCGAAGTCAACATTAACAGTATAAGGTGCAGGGATAACTCTGCAAGGTGCAAGGCGCAAAGAGGTTGATGCTAAGCTTCGAGAGTCGCGCCACTTGAGACTAAGCGCCCTGAACGCTCCGCAGGGCCCGCGTCCCCTTCTATTAACAGAAACAACCAAGGCTCATCCATATGGAAATGGGGGACTGCAACTAGAATTTCTGCGGGTCACATGACTCGAAAGTAGGCATGGCCTCATTCCAGCTATGTATCCTAAACAAAAGATGGCTCGAAGTCGTCCGTAGCCAAGCCTCTAAATACTGTAAACCAATGGCATTGCCCCATGCCTGCCGCAGAACCTTGATCACATTCTGAGCATCTTCGATGCCTTGCAGTTGGACTCCGGTAACGACTTCATTATGATACCACGGCTTCAGTATGAACCGTTCTGAACACAAGTTTGAGCAGCAGGATAAGAAGGGCGATCTCTTGAGATTCAGTTGGGGCGACAGCTTCCCCATTCACGATTCGTTGGTACAGGTGCGCGAGCGGGGGGCTAAATGTCTTTTGTTGACAAGTTTAGGCAGCGGCTGGGCTTTCCCACATATTCCGAAGCCCTATACCAGTCACAGCTGAAGGTCAATGACGGGTAAACAGAAGCTATGGCTTCCAAACCCCCTCGCCCCGGCAGCTTCTGAGATCACAGAGTTTGCAAGACATCGCATGCCATTGCAAAGCCAGTACTTCCCTTCCAGGGCCCAGTTGCACTGATCTTCCTTGTCCATTCCCAGGCGAACGGCCTGGCTTGTTGGCGCGATGCGAGAAGTGGCAGAGGAACAGTGGATTTGGGAGGTGGTATCACTAGGTGCTTGCAACGTCCATGAGACATCATGAGACAGTGGCAGCACATTATCCCCCATGACGATGCATGAGCGTGTGCCACATATGGTCACATGTTGCGCACGACCTACGCTGCAGTGCGATGGAAGCTTCCGCAGACCTCGAATACTTCTGCTTCAATGCGATCAGCGTTCGTAGCCGCCATACCCAAGGGGGGAACCTGCACACGCTCATCATTTTTGGGACAGTTGCTTGCTAAGATCCATTGAGATTGCGCTCTGTGGAGCTGCGTCAGAAATTGTCTGAAGTATCACTGCATTTGGCCCAGAGTTGCCTGATTGCGTTCTTTGGCGCGCTTTTCAGCGGCATCATCCTTCTCCATGCAATCCTGGACCGCAACAGTGGCTAGTCAAGCTGCCGTGAAACATCGTGAAAGCAGGTACAACAGTAGCTGGATCTGCTGTGATCTGCCTGTGCAAAAGCAGAGATTCTCAGCCGAAGCCTTTGTAGGAGAACCTAAGTGCGCTGCTTTGAGGATGAGGGCTTAGGATTGCTAATGCCTTTAGGAAGTTTGAAGCTGCACCAGTTTTGCATCTTCGTTCGCTGAGTTGTCAGCATCTCGTGCCCTGAGCAACATCGACTCCTTTTCATCAGCGCCAACAGAGACCTGAATTTGCAATGCGCGACAACAATGCAACTCGATGACGTTTGCTCTTGCACTGCGAAGGACTCCGTGCGACGTGATCTTGCCCACATACTCAAAACCAAATGTGCACCACATCATTGTGCGCAGTTGCTACACAGACAGTTGAAGGTTGCAGCTTGTTGCGTGTGTTATCCTAATTTCAGTGGACCATTGCAGGTTGGGAATCAAAGCAAGCCAATCATCGTTTACTTTTAGAACTTTTGACCTGGGCCTCCTTGCCCATAATGCACCGGCGAATCAAAGGCACTGCGATTCATGCTTTGGTGGAGTATTTATGTTGCCGGCACGTATCGGTGGGCTGCAAAAACCACTCAAGAAACTGCAAGCTGCAAATCGGAAACCAACGCGTTGACACGGAACTGACTTGCAACCGACATGGAGCATGGAACGTTTCACAGGGCTCGACTGCCAGTTCCATGAGCTGCATGATCTGGATGTGTCCCGCCCCTAGGAAGTCACCGAAAAACACTTGATACTCTGATCGTCTCTCTCAGGACAGTGGGAAAATGCAGACCTGGCCGACCTACGGTGCAGGACAAGTCTGTGTCCCTGGCCAGCGATGGCCTCTTGGTAGGCCTTGTCCGCCCACCTGCACATGCGCCATCCTGTTCTTCTGCTGCAAGATGATGGCTGTGTAAGGTGCTTGCTGCAGTGACTGTGCTTCGCTGTGCAGTATGGGCTGTGCTGGCAAGTTCTGCTCTGGCGGTGAGCTCAGGTATGCCGGGCGCACCAAGCACCAGCTTCCGATGCGATGTCCTGAAATGCCTCGAGCAGCTTGTGCCTTAGCTTCAAGAGGATCAGGAATTCCTTTGTCGAGAGCAAGGTGAGCGGAAATGTCTTGCCCAGTCTTGCCCTCTTATGCAGACATGAAGCCCATGGTTCACTGTTGAAATATAGCTGGTCAGCTCGAAGGGCATTATATTTTCGAAGCTATTGGCACAATGATAAGCATAAACATGCCTGCCCTGCATGCGTTGCTGCGAACTCCTGTTTCCGCTGAGTCCGCGGCTGGCCTGGCAGTTTGAATGTTGAAGCAAAAAGCCGGAAGTTCTTGCGGTCCGCCTCTGCCTTGATAAAAAGGGGCGCTGAGCCAACAGCCCAACAGAATTTTGGAATGTTTCGATCATGGCCCGACCGAGTTCTGCTGAGTCCCTGACAGGATTGCCACGGTGAGTGAACTTGCGCACAAATTGGCGAACTCCTTGCAGCTCCTGCTGCGAAGTTGAAGGTAGTAAGTTAAGCGAGGTAATGCATGAATTAATTTCGACCAGGGATGGCAACCACAGACCAGCCAACACGAAATAGTTTTATTCTCATCAAAGCATCCTCCGGAGCAGCGGAGCCACGATCAACGATGCTGCGTAGAATCTGCTCACTGTCCGCCTGCACAGCCTCCGAGAAGTAAGTTGCAGACTTACTTACTTTCGAAAGTTGGCGGCAGGTGACCACAACAGATGGCTGCTTTTCTCCGTAAGCTCCACCGTCGTTCTGAGACGCTTCCGTCGGAAGCTGTGGGATGACCTTGGGACCGCGATGGGCCGCGCAACGCAAGCCGCAAAGCCTGCTGCGTGCGCTGATCCAAGCCAGTGGCAGCACAAACGAATCTGAGAGGGCACTGGACTCCCGGGACGCTAGGGCTGAGGCGACAGCTTTGGAATTGCATGCTTCGTGCCGCAGCCAAGTCTGCAACGCTGCAAGCAGCTCTTGCTGAAACCTCACCATGCAAGAGCAGCGCCGGGAACCATGCTTGCGATGTCAAAGATGCGTTATTGCCAGTCCGATCTGCTCAGTTCCAATCCATTCTGCCCAGTTCAAAACACGACACCAGCTTGGGGGCAAACCTGTCATTGATGATGCACAAGCTGATGTCCTGAAAGCAGGTTGTAAAGTCCACAGCGGCCAGCATCAATTAACCGCGCCCGCTGCTGAGGGAAAACAATGCCACTCAGTGACATTCATTCCCTCTGTTATGTGGGTGTTGGCTGCACGATGCTGAGATGCTTCCAATGTTTCGGTCATACTTTTGGCGTGTCTGCTGATTGCGACAATTTTACCCATTACAGTTCCGCACCTTTCGTGACAGCAACATGTTGTCAGAGGTTGTCTGGGGACGTCACGCTGTTGTCCATTCCGAAGGGGTTGCAGATCTCAACGGCGACGTCTTCCTTCCGTGCAGTGTGGATCTGTGATGCACATGAAGCAAAACGATAATTGTTCCAGAAATCCCCTGCTGAAAAAAGTCTGCCAGGCGCTGAGTGCTTTTTGCGTACTCTCACCACTAAAGCCTTTCTCCATCGTCGGTTTTGCTTTTCATTGTGAGGTTGCCAGTGAGCATCCAGAGGCCCGACCTCCCCCTTTAACTTCAAGGGGCTACGAGCAGCTTGATCTTAACTGTTCTCGCAGTTCTCCTGCGCCCTCATGCAATGACGGAGTAGGCGTCCGTGTGAGTGTGTGAGACAAAAACGCATAGGCAAACACGCAAGTGTCATCAGATCCTAGCATGGTTGTGCAACGGCGATGAAAAAGAGGGGTGAGGGCAAAGTCTTGTAAGCACAGCGGGTTGTCATAATCCCTCAGCACTCGTAGGTGTAGTTCGCGACAGAGTTCGTTCGCATGTTTCCTGTAATATTCTCCACGCACACTCAGACCATAAGACGATCGCAGCCCCACAAGTGCCCCCGCATAATTTGGCCGCCTTGGACGGGAAGGACTGAAGACATGAATCTGGATCCGTGCAAAGGCGGCGGGAAGACCACTCCCAGGGTTTTTGAACCACCGATGCTGATTGGACTCGCTAAGTGCCTGCGCTTCGTTTGGAGAATAGGCAAAGAGGTAGTGCTCGACATCTTAAGCGATAGCGACCAGTTTTTCACGTGAACCTGGTACAAAGGATGCAGTGTGACAATGTTCTGCTAAACGGCCGCGCTCTGTACGCCGAATGGTCCAAACCAAGGCACCATCAGAGCCTTGGGCAACAAACGTGGGCCTTCCCGGGCAAGCAATTCTAAATGAAGTCTGTATGTGACGCATTTGGAACAGAGTGACATTGTGCGTGTACCGTGTGCCAGTTTGTAAGCCCGAGCGCCCCCTGCCACGAGAAGCATAATCCCTCATTCTGCCCATCCCAGGGCGGAAATGGACCGCGGGGCTCAGGCTAGAATCTTAAGGGCCAATGTTGAACAAAGGGAGCCTGAAAATCAAACTAAAAGTACAAGGAGCCGTCCTGACTTCTGACCGTGAAACCTCAAAGCCTCCACCTCCCCAAAAAATGCTTCTGTCGACTCAGAAGTTCTGAAGAAGGTTAACGGCAGCTCGAAGAGAGTACCATCAGTCAATAATTGCCTTAAGGTGCTTCGCTGAGGCAAGCCGTATAAACCATAGAAGTGGTGAGCAAGCCGATGCGGTGTGTTCCGTTCCAACAGATGCACCCACACGCGCAGCAAGCATGTCTGGCTTCAGGCAATGTCCAGCTTGTACACAGAGTACCCAATGGAAGCACCTTCCCGGCATGGTGCAGAAGACTACGTCGACTGCATGTGAAGGTTTGACGGCTATGTTCAACCAGCTTCAGAACCGGGCTTCCAACCTAGCAGTGGCGTGGCCCAAAGTAACGTCGGCGTCTTGGTCGTACATGCTCAAGAATGCAGAACATGATCTGGAAACCAAACAAGTTGGCACTACTTTTCAAGGTTTTGCTTTGTCGCGTGGCTCTTAACCACCTGGGCTACAGACAAGTGCCATGGGCAAAATCGCAAGCCAGAGCTGCATCAACAGCGCATTGTGCTTCCTTAATTCGTGGCGAGGACACGCATGCCGTGCTGCTGACTGGCGTACGTCTTAACTTGCGTGTCGGGCCATCTTGCACCTGCAAACGGACCATGCAATTCTTAGGCGCGAGATGGGCTGGTGGTGGTAGTAGTAGTAGTAGTAGTAGTCGTACTAGTAGTCGTACTAGCGTGGACATGACTGCATTGAACAATCGCAAACCCTCACTCGATCACAGCAAACAGCGAACATACTTTCACCCGCTCTAGCACAGGCAGGGCGGGTTCAGGTTGCAAAGGTCAGATCATGGACGATGTGGGAATCTAGCGATCATTCGCTGACCGGAAGACTCGAGGTGGAACCCCTCTTCCGTGTCCGATTCACCCACATCGGAACTCAATGGCTATATATAGATCCAAAAAATTGATCATCTGGGTAATGTGGCTACCACCTTAGGATTCGAAGCCAGGTTTCTGATATCCCCACGGCTCCGGGGTGCTGCGGAGAGTCTCCATGCCTTCGACACCCAGTGCACGGACACAGAAACAGTCGAAGGAGAGCACAGGCTGTGCTTCGGCTGTGCTTCGAATTCCGGAGAACTTGGCAAGGCAGGCCTTCCATGATCTGAGTCATATTGTTGATGTAGTTCTGGACCGCCACGACCTCGGAACTTGCCAATCTCGCTCCCCCAAGTGAAACTGCCAAAAACATAGGGTGCGTGTTCCAAGTCTTGAAAGTCAGCGTTGAGGCCCTATGGTGCCGTAACCTCAACACTTTTTGACCGGGCGTATCCGGTATGCTTCGGGTGCTCCACGTGCACACGACTCCCTTTCTGTCAACCACACCATGCGGTTTCTCATTGTGGGCTGTGTCTGGGAACTGCCGCGTTCGAACTTCGGGACATTGTTACATTCTTACAGAATCTTACAGAGTTGTTACCAAGTTGGCAGCATTGATATCCAAGGACAACTTGATCTGGGTGCGAACATCACTGTGATGTGGCCCCTTCTACATGGGAACAAGAAAAGTTCACCTGTAGAATGCATGAGCTGAAGCAGCATGTCAAAACACAGACCCTCCACAGCCCATCTTGCAACTCACGATGTGCCTCATCTTAGCACCTGGCCAAGCGCACATTTTTCGTGTGTCCGGCATCATACCTGAGTTGAGCCGCGTGTCCAAAGTGCTCGAGGCCGTGAGTGCCGTCATATGCCGTGAGGGCCCCACGCATCCGCGAGTCGTGAGGTCAAACGCTGGGTCAAGAAGTATGGCCTATGGGGCGCTTCCAGAAGATCCTGGGCTCGAGGCTACATCTGCCACATTCTGCCACGGTAACCACAATCCAATTGCAAGCCCTGTCCGGTCCCCGCCTCTAAGACCGGCTTGGGAAGCAAATGGACAAAAGCTTCGACATAACGTGCCGGAGGCTCCTCTGTCATGCTCAACATATGGTATGAAAGAGATGCCAGATCTGTATCTGCTGCTTGCCCCCAGCGACAAAGGTACGTGTCCATGTATGAAAGTACTTCTTCCATCCATATGTAACACTTCTCACACAATCATGCGCACGTGGGCAACCGCCGAGAGGCGGATTCATGGCATCTAAGGTAAGTTAAACACTTCTCAAACAAGCATGCGCACGTGGGCAACCGCCGAGAGGCAGATTCATGGTATCCAAAGTAAGTTACAATACTTTCCACGGTGTAGAAGATTCGGACTATTTAAGCAGACTAGATTTTGGGTACAAACAAGGCAGCCCCACCAATGTTTGGTGAGGTTTACGCAAGCTGCTGACCGAAACAAGCAGGTTTCTGGAGAAGCCTGTCTCCGGACTCTTTTGGTGCATGACTGTTTGCTTGTTTTGAATGAGCATGGCAGCACAAAGTGTGACCAAACCTTGTAGGCAGAAGCGGACAGATTCTGTGTGTCGACGCACGCAAACATGGCGTCTTGAACGTGCGCAGGCAATTGCGTTCTGACATGGATAGCTGGACAAAAAAGTCGCCCTAATACGCGGACAGGATGGGCACGCGTATCCTAAATTGTCATTCCAGGAAACGTGCTGCGTGCCGAGCTGCTGACACACAGGCGTGTAGTATGCTGTGCGTATGCCGGCGTGTGGACTCAGGAGCCGAACTTGTGAAGGTTGTGGGGCTTCAAGCGGCTGCCGCTCTGGTGCGCGGGACATTTTTACGCTGCGGGCCTGTGTTCAAGTCTTGCAAACAAGTTCCGCAAGGGCGGAAGCAGCTAAGTGTTCAGCATTGCCCGCATGAAGTTCAATTGGCACCCTAAAGAAACAAGACCACGCCTACTTCTGAGGGCAAGTGGAATCACAAAAGTGTAGCTGACACCAGGGCTGGCCATGTTGAACTGGCATGCATCCTGCGGAATCGCCCGCGTGCAGTTGACAGAGGGGGCCTGAGGGTGTAGAAGAGGACGGATGTTGCTTGATGAGTGATAGATGGTGATTGAGCACAATGTTGCGTACACGTCTGAAAGCCATGCGCTGCAGGCAAATCTTCCACATTGATACCAGACTCCAGTCCTATGTGCACGCTGCGCAATCACCACATCTTCCGCATGTTGAAAGCACGCGTGCACGCCAACACCCGACATGGTAAACTTGG